CCTACAGGATTTAACAATTGTATTCCGTTATTATTCGCAGCTGTATCTCAGAGTATGTACATATGTGACCAAAACTTTAAATAGCATAAACGCCTTAAAACAAAATATTATTTTATTGACTTTTGAAGATCACTTAATTAGTCAAGTTTTCTTACGCATTTCCTTTATTTCCCACACCCCTAATTTTGGTGAAATCCAGCACATTAATTGTAATACAGATGAACCTCTAGGCACCAACCACTACACAACAAAGCAACAATTTATCTTGCATTTGATCGAAATAGTTGCATTGAATGACATGATTGAACTTTTCAGTGAAAATGACAATTCACACCTGTTTGTTTTGAAAGCTTTAGACCTTTATAAACATGTTATTTTCTATTTAGGCATTATCTTGACTGCAAGTGACCTTCTTCCCTGGTTAGCTAATCTCCACGAAAAAATACAAGATTTATTTTAGTCATACAAAAAATGAAGCTTTCTGCATTTATTTGAGTTGGGTGAAAAGCATTACTGCAAAGGAATAACCTTTTTCCATTATAGAAAGCATTTTATATATTTTTCAGTATATATAAATTTAAATACTTTTGTCTAATAAATACATACATAAATACATACATACATACATACATACATACATACATACATACATACATACATACATACATACATACATACATACATACATACATACATACATACATACATACATACATACATACATACATACATACATACATACATACATACATACATTGATTTCTTTGGGGGATTCTGTAAATATGGTTAATATTTTCTCTATGAGTTTAATATTATGATAATTTTCAAAAAGTTAAACATATGTATCTTCGTCTGAGTCAAAGACATTGTTTACCACATTATATATTATAATTTTAATAACAGATTTTATTTTGTAAACATCTAGAATCTTTAAAAAAAATATATTTTTTTTTGTAGAAAATGTTAATTGTGACCCAGATCTGTTCGAGGAATATACAGTCTTGTTTCCTGGAAAATTTATTTAATCCTGCGATAACACCTGGGCAGTAATCATTTATCTTGTGATATTCATATTTTGATTTGGGTGAAATTATTTTTTTATTCTCTTGAAATACAAAGTTCTCTGCATAATATTTTCCTGAAAGAAACATTAACTAGGAATTATAGTGAATTCAAACGTGGAAAATTTGGACTTTATTCATGTGATTCAACAAAAGACAATTGGCACATCAACACTCTCTGCATTTGATTTATGTTAGGATACCACGAAAGTTTATTCAGAACTTTATTCGTTTGGACTTGTTCTAGAAATTCTAGAAATATTTTGGATTTAATTCGCATTAATGTAAATTCTTTTATCTTTCACTTGATTTCTAGAGAATTAAATATTTTGTTGAATTTTACAAAACGTTTTTGGTTTTCGCTCTTTCTATTACTTATTTTAAGATCATAGAGTCGTCATAAAGAAAAAAACTAAATAAATGATGATAATATATCTGCTTTTAGACTGTCTACTTTATGATATGTACTCTGAACATATTACAGATTTATAAGGAATAATAAATATCAATAACGTCGTCGAGGATGTCCACATTCTCCATTTGTAAGCAAAGATGGAAAAATAAAAAATGGCAGTTTTAATCCAGAAAGTTATTCTGAAATGATAGTTGTATCCAATAGAATAACGTGACTCTAGAGTGAACTCTGACCATAAAGAATTATAAATAGGATTCGTACTCCATAATTTAATTTCTCTAACCTGTATGATAGTATTGTTTGTATTTAAACTATTAAATTCTGCCCACTATTATCAAGATTCTACTACAAAATCCAGGGATAGCACAGTCTGTTCTGTCTGGTATATATTTATAATTCTTTGTTTGTTTAGTTTTTTTTAAAAAAAATCCTATATACTTTGATTTCTTTCATAGGAATCTGGAACGACTGTGTATATATAAGAGAATTATTTACTAGGTCGTCATGCGAGTGTGTCTGCTACGCACAAGCTAATATAACACCGACTCAGTACCATCATTTCTTTTTTGGTGGTGCATGCTTAGTCGTGACGGTATATGGGCTGGTGGGTGCAGGCAAGACAATGGGTGCCATTTACTCGCGCACCTGGGTTCAAAACTCCATAGAGTACGAATTTAATTTCTCTAACCTGCATGATAGTATTGTTTGTGAAGTTACAGAAATAGCCTGAGGATATCGTAAACATCTAAGTTCGAGTTCAATACTTAATTCTAACTCCGATCAAATCGGTGACAACTCTTCAAAATATATTTTCTCCATTATTTCCTCACGTAAGATTTAAAATTCCGGCTTACGCTAAAACACCTAATGGTCCCCAAAGCCTGATATCATTTGCTCTAAGCGACACACAACAAAATTAAGTTTCACTTACCTTTATTATCTTGTTTCATTCCACGCATTATCTATAATAATACATTTTTATCTGTGAATAATCTAACCTATTTTTATCATCCTCTTAAATGTTCGTGATAAGTTTATAGTTAGAAGAGCTCCCAGGTGTATTATACATACGATTTTTTTTTAATGATTTGAATAATAATATATGCATGGAGCTGCTTGAAGCGAATGGAACAGTATTTTACTTAACTCGTTTAATCAATATTAAATCAAACGCAAACTACTTTGAGGTTTACACTACTTGTCTCCCAACTGCAAACACTTTGCGTTTCCTTATAGTGTTTCTTTGTGTTGATGCAGGGTAGAGTCTACTCAATATGGCTTACTTAAAAATTTATTAAATATGGAAAAAGAAAATTTACTTCTATGATAGTCATGGCGATATTTTCTTACAATCTCCACTATGGACAGAAAAGTTTATTATGCAGGCAAAACTTACCTAACTGCCAATTGGTGGATAATTATATGTACTTATTAAAATATACCAAAGATCTTCACTAACATAAGGTGCTAAAATGTTTTTCGTGACTTTTCAGCTCTTTTTGAAAATTTTTTTAAGGTCACAGGAAAGAGCAGGCTTTACGCCTGGAGTGTAGTTTTGGAGTGCCACTGAGTGTTCGAGTCAATGACGTTAGAGTTATTAAAGTATTGTTCTATAGGGACGATAAAGTGCCAGACATAGATCTAGGATTATATCTACAGTAGCTTGATTTGGGGAAGTGGGTGGATAGTTCTGCTGAAAATGGTTATCTTTCTACTTTCATTTTCAATGAAAAGTGTTATGTTTTGACTGGAGTATGTGAAGAGGGAACGAATTCGGCTTAACGTACCCGTCATCTACCACTGCTGTACTATGGTATATTTATAGTATGTACGTAGTCTATATAAAAATGGTATATTTATAGTATGTACATAGTCTATATAAAAATGGTATATTTATAGTGTGTACGTAGTCTATATAAAAATGGTATATTTATAGTGTGTACGTAGTCTATATAAAATGGTATGTATTTGTACGTAGGCCCTAGGACAACACTTTTATCTCCACGCATTATCACTATATGTGCCTATGATGGCAACCTCAACAACCAAGATGGCAAGAAAAGACTTTGACAACAGACGATGATCACGAAAAGAAGAACCATTTTAATCAGATAATAAGCAGGAAATGTCATACTTGTGCATTATAATATTTTTGTACATGCATTTTCCTTTTGGTACTATACGAAATTTAATGGTATAAAATGATAGCATAAATATTAAAATAATCCGTACATTTATCTCTCCACATGCCACAATATCGTCGCAGCTCGAGTAACCCGTGAAAAAAAAAACAACCAAGTGTTGGTGATCTTGACTTTTGACCTTATAGTCACTCCATATCTCTGTTAATATGTGACATAAGATGTGTTATTGTCAAAAGGCTTTAAACAATCCCCCCTTCAATCACAAACAATTCACCTTTGTGACCCTGACCTTCGATACCTCGATACTATACCCACAAGGGTATACATGGTTAGAGGTCTAATGCGATAAGGAAGATATAGACACATGATGTTTGTTTGCCTAAATGCATAAGAAACAGGAAACTACGACCTTCCATTTTGACCATTAAACCAAGATGGCCGTTTACATCCTGTGCAAAACATATTTACGTTGAATGGGCATTTATTCATAACCATAGTACTGCTAGATCCAAAAATAACGATTACTATTGACCACCCAACTCCAAATTTAAACAATTTCTACACATGACCTTGACCTTTGATCTCCATATCCGTCAATCACCAGGACTAAACCTTCCTTATCGCCCTAACGATTGTGTGAGGAACGTCGGGCAATATCCCTAATGAAAGCATTCAATATTGACCTTTAAAATAATAAGAGAATGTTGACTCCAGAAGGATGGATATAGCGGCTTTTATACCTCGCGGTTTGAAACATTCGTCGTAAGCTAGACAAAGAGCGATCCTGTGTTATATCAAATCCTGAGGGATTGGAGTTACGCGACTTCGTACTGTAATTCAAACACTTCGGTCATTGTTCTGTGGATATGTACTGTTTACTTAGCATGCGGAGCGGCGGTTTATTGCAATCTGTTACACAGGTCAATACCGAAAAGCTGGACAATTTTGGTTTGATTGGAGAAAGATGAAAACCGTTTACCGGCCTGGTTCTATATATTAATGCAATACACTTCACTCAAGATTGAATACTGTAACTTAACAATCATCATCAATGACTAAATGAAGATAAAAAAGAAGATGATGATGATGATGATTATGAAGAAGAAAAAAAAGAAAAGCGAGCGAGATTAAATAGATTAATAGAGCTGACTTACAATTGCCGAATGTATGTGTTTTTGTGGGGTTTTTTTTCTCTTCAATTTCTAGCTTTAACAATTTTGCAGTCATATCGCTACGATGTCTGCGGTATGGCAGACATATAGCATGATGTCCCACCCAGTCAAATTATCCTGACACCAGGCCGACCAGTCCTAACATTAACCTCTTAATGATGAGCGCCTAGCGAGGCAGCTATAAGTACCATTTTCATAAGCTTTTGGTATGACTCGGTCGAGTTTCAAACCCACGACCTCCCGCATCTGAGGCAGACGCTCTAACCACTAGGCCATATGTATGTATGTATGTATGGATGTATGTATGTATGTATGTATGTATGTATGTATGTATGTATGTATGTATGTATGTATGTATGTATGTATGTATGTTTAAGGTTTAACGGCAGGTCTGCACAATCATGTAGTGACGAGTAAGAGTTGTACAGTAGAAATAGTACAGATAAGCAACATGAGATATGAAGACAAAAACGGGTAATATCCGAATATACAAGCAACATTTTTTTTTTCTACACGAGCCGAATGCTTTTTAAAATGCATGAAAACTTTTAAGGTGGAGTTTCATCTTAAACACATTCTACGCCAAACATGGTGCCTCTAGCAGTGGCCTCGACAGGTGAACTTTTCTACATCCCTAAACCCGCAGTGGTAGCGCACACTGAACAGAAGATTCCAGCAATGTTTATTGTTGACACCCATCACTTTGCAACAATAAACTAGTCGTCACGGCCTTTACCTTGAATAACGTATATGTTATAAACATGCATCGTGTGTGTGTGTGTGTGTGTGTGTGTGTGTGTGTGTGTGTGTGTGTGTGTGTGTGTGTGTGTGATCTGGGAATTAGCTTTGACAAGTTTTCAGTCATATCGCAGCGGCATCATGCCGCAAAAAATGTAGCATCATTTCCCAACCGGTCTAATTATCTGACACCAGCCCGACCAATCCTAACACTAACCTCTTAATACTAGCGAGGCATCTGGTAGAACCATTCTTATTAAGTTTTTAGTATGACTCGGCAGTGGTTCGAATCCGCGACCTCCAGCATCCGATCGTATTTCTAACCACTTAGGCCTCTGGAGAGGTCTCATAAAAATGCGACAACCGATAAACGTTTAATCTGATGATATGTACTTTGTATCTTTCTCCAACTCAATAAAGAAAAAGGTATCACTGAAATATCGTGCTCAGAATATATTTTCTCATGTCAAGAAAACAAATTAAAGAGCATATGGAAAGTCTGATACAGCTGTTGTACTATTATGTATTTCTTTTTAGCCATTGATTAGTCAGGATTTAGATAAAACTGAAACATTTCATAGCAAATAAATCAATAAAACTTGTTTACCCGTACATTTATTTTTATTTTTTTTTGCGTAACAATTTTAAGATTTGCTTCAAGAATAAAATATTTTGAATGCGCTAAACAGTATTAAGTGACCATAGCTATATATGTAGTAAAACAATGATCTTTCTATATTCATTTATATAAGCTATTTCTAAATTGGTTTAAAGAACATTATTATTAGTTATAATGTGGCTTGGCATCATTTGGACAAAATTAATTAGTCCTGGCTAGGAAGCGTATTGACCATCATGTTATAAATATGGAGACATGTTCAATCATAAAGAAATGTTAACAATTATTAAAAAATATACATAAAGGAAATGCGAATGAACACCTTTAACATTTGTGAGATGTATTAGGTCGGGCATGCGATAATGTTTGGTGTGTATTGGGGTTTTCATATGGTGAACATGTGAAGTTGTTAACTTAAAATTATTATTACACTGTGTTGTTGTTTTGGAGTTTAGCAACATTTACCAGTGTAAGACATGCTACAGGACCGGACAAGTGTTGTGGATGAGTGGATTCCATCACATTCAAAGTGTCCCGATTTTCCTTGAAAAGGTACCAAGCAAAAGCCTGTCTATTTACTCAGTGTGCATAACACTCAACAAACGTGCGCAAGAATAAAACGATCGTCCAATTTCAAGTGGCTGTTCTTAGTGTGTGTGTCTTTTAATGTTTTTTTAAATTTTTATGGGGGCCGGAAACACCCCATTCCAGCTATACATGGTGGCCAGTATACCTTGTGGACAAAGAACCAGGGAGATCCCCTGTATGAACTACCGATCCATAGGAAGATACTGGCAGTTTTCTCACCTACCTACATTGTCCAAGCACGAGACTCGAACCGACGCGGACAGAGGTGAAACGGCAGTAGTTGGTAAAGGCGAACGGTTTAGACCACCCGGCCACTTAAGGCAACAACTTATCTAATGAGGAGCTGATATTGCAGAAAATGCATAATAACCTATGCTGATTTATTCACGTCCTGCATCCAGAGAGAGAGAGAGAGAGAGAGAGAGAGAGAGAGAGAGAGAGAGAGAGAGAGAGAGAGAGAGAGAGAGAGAGAGAGAGAGAGAGAGAGAGAGAATACAAATCATATGGCGAATAACAATATGGTAAACAATCGACCCAAACACTTCTTCGTCCAACTCCTGAAGCTTGTCCTAAAACTCAACAACATTGAATTTAATGAAGAAAACTACCTACAAATCAATGGAACTGCAATGGGTACTAAAATAGACTTTTCGTATGCTAACATTTTCATGGGAAAACTGGAGGGTCAGCTCTTAGCATCGGTTGAGCGTACGCCATACCAGTGTATACGCTTTATTAATGATATAGAAATGAAGTGGCAACATGGAAGAAAAAGTCTGGATGACTTCATATCAAAGGCAAACAACTTCCATCCTTCAATAAAATTCACGGCTGAAATTTCCAACTCAAACCATGTTTTCCTGGACACAACAACCAGACTGGTCGAAAGCAAATTACATACAGATATCTAATCGAAATCAACCGACAAACACCAGTATCTCCTCCCAACCAGCTGTCACACAAAACACTGCATTAGGAACATTCCATACAGCCAGGCACTGAGGATACGCAGAATTTGCTCCGATGATGAAAGATTCCTAGAAAGGTCTGAAGAGTTGGCTAAGCAATTTGTTTACCGAGGCTACGATAAAGACCTGATTGCGGAGGCAATCCAAAGGGCCAAACAAACAAACCGTGATGACCTACTCAAATATGGAAAGAAGAAAAAGGCTGCTAGGATACCATTTATCCTGACCTAGCATCCAGACAACCCCAAAGTAAGTAATATCATTGGGATTCACTGGCCCATCGTGCAATCGTCAGACGTTCTAAAGCTAATCCTTCCAAACAAACCTGTAGTAGCTTACCGGAGACCAAAAAAAAAAAAAAAAACAAACTCATGGACATATTAGTCAGGGCAAAGCTAACGCCAATCACTAGTCAAGACCAACCTAGTCAATCTGGGCCCTGTGGCGATAAACGATGCAAAACCTGTCAACATATGATAGAGACCAGGGCATTCACTAACACAGTGACTAAAGAAAAACTAAACATACATGATCCAAACAAAACGTGCAAAACAGAGAATGTTATTTATCTCATCACATGTAAGATCTGTAGCCTTCAGTACGTCGGAGAAACTGAAAAGCTACACAAAAGGATAAACCTTCATAGATCTGATTGGATGACAAAAAAGCTGTACAGAGGCCCGGTCGCAGAACACTTCTCTTCCACTGGCCATACTTTCAGTAATATAACACTTATCGCAATTTCTAACTACCACATCTGGAGTTTCTAAACTAGGAAGGAAAAGGAATCTTACTGGATACGCCGCCTTAGAACATTGAAACCAAGCGGTCCAAACCAAGAAGACTAGAAAAAGAAATCTATGCACTAGTATAATTAGTCTTTGTAGCCGACACAGTTTCTTTTCAAACTTTTCTAAATCTTCTTAGTATTCTTTAATTATTACAATAAGAACAAAATATCCGGTATAGAATCAAATATCCTGGATATAATCTGCGTTAAATAAGTGTACACAAAGTAATAGATGTCGTTTTGGCTAATAGACTTTTAAGGAATTATAAACATTTTTCAGTATTCGCAACAATTCCATAAAAGTCTACAAGCCAAAGCGACATCTATTTTTACTTTTCTGTACATTTATGTAACGCAGATTATATCCCGGATTATTGTCTATATACCGGTTATTCTTATAGTAAAAATTGATGGATACTAAGAAGATTTACAAAAAGTTAAATTCTACTAGTGCCCGGTAGCAGAAAACATATCCTCCCCTGGCCACACTTTCAGTGATATAACACTTATCGCTATTGCTAACAACCACAGCTGGAGTTCCGAAACCAGGAAGGAAAAGGAATTATACTGGATACGCCGCCTTATAACACTGAAACCAAGCGGTCTAAACCAAGAAGACTAGAAAAAGAAAACTATGCACTAGTAGAATTTAACTTTTTCTAAATCTTAGTATTCTTCAATTTTTACTATAAGAAAAACCGATATAGAATCAAATATCCGGGATATAATCTGTGTTACATAAATGTACAAAAAAGTAAAAATAGATGTCGCTTTGGCTTGTAGACTATTAGGGAATTATACAGTTTTCAGTATCCGCAACAAGTCTATACAAGCTGGTTGTATTTATAGTTTTACCTCATGTGGAGACAGTCATGTAGAGGTTGTATTACAAACACAACGTTTTTGAGTTCATTTGTTTGTCTTATATATGTTTTTATTTGCCTTTGAAAAAGACTCATTAAGAGTCGAAAGCGCTCAGGCTAGTTAGTTACTAGATTCGCACTGTTCGTCGTCAGTTTATTGCATATATATATATATATATATATATATATATATATATATATATATATATATATATATATATATATACTCGCTATATAAAGCAGCTGAAGGAATGCCAAAGTTTAACTTTTGAAATCGCACAGTGAATGACATAGATTGACAAAAATTTGAAACCCTACATTGAAGAAAATTTTTCTCAGACTTCTGAAATCGTACACTAAAAAGATTAACAAGTTGGAAATATAAGTATGTTTTTTCTGTTGTTTTTAACGGTCGTCGAGTTTAAAAAGTAGATCATTATGCCTCAACGTTCTCTCTGGATGCCTTTTATATGGTTTTAAATTAAAGAATTTTTATACCATCTTAAATTACTGACCATTAACGTAACACAAGGCATCTTTACTAAGACCCTGAAATTACCATGCTTTACACAAATATCAATTAATTGTAGCAATGAGAAATTAAATGCCCTACAACCACCACCGACAAATAAAACACATCTATTAATATTTTTTTAGCAGAAAACTGCTCGTGCTTAGATAATAAATTATAATATCACAAACGGAAAATCC